CTGTGGCGTGAAGTTGACACTGGCTCCTCTGTTCAGCAGCAGCTGGGCCACGTTGAGGTTCTCGTAGTGAGCTGCGATGTGTAACGGGGTGAACCCAGTCTAGGGGAGACAGGAGGGTCAACACAGCCCCAGGACCTGGCCTGAGGGTAAACACCCTGTGGCTTGTCGAGAGCAGTGCCCAGGAGACTGTGCCTGGTCACATGGCTCCATGAGCCCTGGGTGTCTTGGAGCACACCAAGGCCAGGACTGGCAGGAGCCTGGGCTGGCACGGTGTGGGCAGGGAGGAGCAATGTGCAGGGGGCCTGGCTGTACCTTGGAGAGCACGTCAGCGTTAGGGTCATTCTGCAGCAGGACAGCAGCTGTGCGGGTGTCATCGTTGCGGGCGGCAATGTGCAGGGCAGGCAGCCGAACCTTTCCTTTTGTCCCGTAGTTGATAAGGTGGGCAACCACGTTCTCGTGCCCCTGCTGCAGGGCCACAGCCAGTGGCGTGAACCCATCCTGCCAGAGACAAGGGGCTAGGGTGAGATGGGATCACGGGGGCCTGGGTGGCCCTGAGTGCACATGCTTGCAGCCGGGCCGCGGAGCCAGAGGAGCCTCCGCGGGGCCTCACCTCAGTGGCCACGTTCTGATTGGCACCATTCTCCAGCAGAAACTTGACGACTTCCAGGTGATTCTCTTGTGCCGCCATGTACAGGGGAGTGAAGCCTTTCTGCAAATGCAGTCCCCCATGCCCATTGAGTGCAGCCGCCCTGCAGGGTCCAGGCTCCACACACGTCTGCCAACACTCTCCCTGGCACCTCCAAGGCTGCTGCATCCCCTCAGGGATGGACAGCCAGGCTGCGCCATGGGCATGGGGAGGAGGGGGATGGGAAAGCTCCAGGCCACTGGCTAGGGAAAAGGGCCACCAATGCTCGTCCCCTGACAGCGGCATGGCCCTGCAGTTGCCGATGGCTCAGGAGCCCAACAAGGGGCTGGTGCAGCTGCCAGGCACTCAGGGCAGGACTGGTAGCTGTTGGGCCCAGGGGCACTATTGGCTTGGGCACCACTCGCACCTGGGCCCAGAGGACTCGCTGTCATGGCTAGCAGCAGCTCATGTTACCTGTGACTGCGCATTGACATTGGCCCCATAGTTCACCAGCTCCCGGACCACGTCCTCCTGTCCAGCCAAGGCTGCGATGTGCAGAGCTGTGTTCCCCTTCTGAAAGACATCAGGCAGTAGCAGTCAGGGCATGCACCGAGTGGCCAGTGGCATGGGAAGGCAGGCAGCAGGGGTGGTTAGGAGCAATGGGGAGCCTGAGGATGAGCACACACTTGCACTGGGATCCAGACCAGATGCCAGCCCCATGCAGGGCAGGACACTTTCTCCCTCCATTAGGGCAGAGTCAGGCTCTGTGCACCCCAGGGCCTGGCCAGGTGGATGGAGGGGCCAAGGGCCCCTTCCTGCGGGCAGTCCTGAGCCCCTGTGCAGGCCCTGTGATGCACTATCCATGTCCATGTGGATAGAGGCTGGCCCAGGGTGCAAGGTAAGCAGCACAAAGGACAGGCCCAGGGGCCGGCTGTCAGGTGAGAGAGGCAGTGCCAGTGGCTCTGTGCCCAGGGCCAGGTGCTTGGCTGGAGCAGGCAGCCAGGCCCCGCTCCCCCAGCGCCAGAGGCTGGTCATTTATCAGCCCGCGCTAGCGCATTGTCCCGCCTGTCACGGATCGAGCGAGTGCCGCTCCCTCTGCAGGGGCTCCAGGAGGAGACGCGCGATGGTGATTTATGAGCGAGGGAGCCAGAGCCCTGCGCGGCACTGTGCGGCGGCCCCTCGCAGTCAGGCTCTGCCGCAGTGCGCGGGGGGCTGCCTCAAGCTCCAGTGCTGGGGCTGGAGACAGTGCTGTGCTCATGCTGTGCACAGGGTGGGGGCGCAAAAGCTGTGACAGCTGTGGCAGAGGTGAGACCAGTCTGCCCATGCCAGCCCAGGAAGCCAAGGCTGCCTCCGCATCCCCGCTTGCCCCCAGACCCAGCCCCAGCCTCACCTTGGTCGTAGTTTCAAGAACGATCTCCTTGTGCAGCAGCTCAGCCACCATTTTCACGTGGCCCTCCTTGGAGGCCAGGTGCAGGGCGTTCAGCCCATTCTGGAAAGAGCAGAGTCGGGAAGGGAGTTACCCAGAGTAGGTGGTGCTTGTGGGAGCTGGGCGCTGCTGCGGGGAGTCCCAGCACCCCGTGCCTGTGAAGACCAGGCTGCAGCAGGCGGCCCACCAGGCTGCCCAGGGCAGCACCAGCACCTGGCGCCAGCCCCCTGCAACACTGAGCACCCCCTCCCCAGCTGGCACGGTGCCCCCAGGGCAGACACATGCCTGGGACCAGGCTCGACTACAGGCGCCTGCCCATCCGCCACACCCTGAAGGATGAACACTGGAGGAGGGAGTTGGTTGTCTAGGGCTCTGGCCCCCCTTGCCCAGGGAAGGAAGCCAGGCTGCCAGCTCCAGAGATCTGCTCGCATCACCGCCCAGATGGAGTCCATGTTATGAGCCTGGCAGTACCAGGCAGGCCCCAAAATACCATGCTCCCGCCTGGCTGCTGCACAGCCAGAGAAACCACCAGCTGCCCTGCCTGCAGCACAGTCTGGGTACTACATCAGCACCACTGGGCGTGGGCACCCAAGAATGCCAGCACCATAGTGCCACCCGCAAGCCGGCTGCCAGTGCTATTGCAAGAGGCAGCCATCCCACAGAGCCCTGGGGACAGGTGACAGCAGTGACAGTCTGCCTAACCCTTAGGGACATTCAGCTTCTGCTGGAAAGAGAGTGCCTCCCTCCTGCTGCAAGCATCAGCTTGCAAAGCAGCAGAGCCAAGGGATGCACAGATTCCTTGGAAACCCCCTTCTGCTTGGCTCTGGCCTTCTCCCTGGCTCTGGCACAGGCTAGGCAGAGCAGGGCAACACCTGTGAGCCTGTACGCAGCTGCTGAAGACCTTCAGGGCTCCCAGGGGAGAGGGATTAACCAGGGGGTGGAGGAGCAGCACTGAGCCTGGGAGGTTGTAAAGCTCAAAGCAAGGAGCTGTGGAAGCAGAGAGGAAGGCTGTGCTGAGGAGCCTGTGGCAGTGCACACATGCTTGGCTTACGGCCACACTCCTTGACACACCAGGCACATGGCCATGCACGCACACAGTCTCTGCAACACCTGCAGATGCATGCACTCAGCACATGTGACCACAGATGCTCTCTTGCCTCCCTGCACACACACCAGGGCAGGATACAGGGGACAGCAGGCACGCTTGGTTTCCCTCCTTCGTGCACACATGCCTTTTCCTCCAGGACTGATGAATAGTCCATCGAGCGCTTGAAACCTTGGGAGAGCCCTTGTCTCTGGCCTGACTGCGACACACTCAGTGTTTCCAGAAGGCTACATCCGAGCGCCAGGCAGCAGCATATTCTGTGTGCCTGCCCAGCCTGACCCAAACTGCCCCAGCTGCAGCCTACTTGATGTCCTTGCCTGGGAGCCCTCATATTCCCACTTGTATCCCACTTCCAAGGAACCCCAGGGACGCAGGACGGATGGAAGCGCAGGGATGGGCAGAGGTGGGGACAAGGGCCATGGCCCAGGTGACAGGGAGCTCTGCCTGGGATCTCCTGACTCTCGGGATTAAGGTGGTGGCTGCCAACTGTGCCCATTGCTGGGCATCCTGCGGCGCATGAGGACAGGAAAACATGGGATGGAGTGGATGATGGAGATGACGATGGTAGTACGGTGATGGCGGTGGAGTCACAGAATGAGGATCAGATGGCAGGTTAAGGTCTCGGCATGTGTGCAAGAATACAGGGCCTGTGGGATAGGTCTGACCACATATATCCCTCCTCGTGACATACAGGACATGTGAGGTTGGACCTTTCCCACGGGTCTGATATTCCTCCGGGTGGAAACCCCAAAATGCCATCTAACCAGGGTGAAGACGTCGTTGCAGGAGGTGCCTCTGGCTGCCGCTTGTGCCCCCAGGTCCTACTACACCTCAGTTCCTCCCGACAAATGGATTGTGCTGTGGGTCCAGGCCAGGAGCTCCACGCCCCTCACTTGCCCTGTTCTGCCCCTGGGCTGGCATCCCTTCTCTGGGGGAATGTGGGGTGGGGCAGCTCCCTTCTGCTCACTGGGACCAGTAAGCCCCTCACCATGGCTCCTTCTGCCCTCTGCATGTGTCTGGCATACAGCAAGGCTCTGAGGATGCCTGGGCAGGGGCCTGGCCTGTTTCCCAGTGAGAAGCTCCACAGAGGTCATTACCACCATCACTGAGGGGTAAGTGAATGTGCCCAGGAGTGCTGCCAGTGCTCAGCACAGGTGCCCAGCACCATGGTGCAGGTACTGGGGCTACTGATGCTGCCCACAGACTGTCAGAGGTGCAACAGCTGGTGCAGCCAGCAGCCAGGCCCCGAATGGCACACAGTCACTCAGAGGAGCCTTCTTGGGTTTGGAAGGAGCTGGTGGACAGGGCCAGGTCGTGCTGAGCCCGGAACACAGCAAGGGCGAGGGCGAGCCACGAAGCTTCTGCAGTCTGCCAGCTCTGCACCGCTGCAGCACCCACCAGTCAGTCCCATGGCTAACCTATTGGGAGCCGTGCACCCCGCATCCCCCTGCTGCCCCCAAAACAGCAGCTGGGCAGGGCAAACCCACAGAAAAGCTCTTTCCAGGGAAGTAGAGCCAGTGCCAGGCTCAGGCTTCCCAGCACCGCATAGACAAAAGCATGCACCTACATACAAACACACAGGGAGACCATCCACAGGCATGTGTCTCCACATGCAAGTTACAGCCCCACCTGCTCCTGCCACTGCAGAGCCCTGGCTGCCAGCTGGGAGAGGCAGCAGAGCAAGCACTGTTACAGAGAGGTGGGGCCCGGCTCTGCTTGCCCCCAGGGAAGGCAGCACAGCCCTGGCACGCCTGTGGACAGAGGGCAGCTTGCGACGTGCTGACCGGGCACAGCCAGCCTGCAGAGGCTGCGATGTGCTAGCCCGGGGTGGGGCAGCTGCAGCGCCTGGATCAATAGGAGCCATGGCCAGGAGCGGAGGAGACTGCGGGGCCCAGGGGTGGCAGGTTTGGGTGCCATCTTCCAGGTGGGGATTGTGCCCCCCTGCAGCACAGCTGCCTCCACATAGTCACTGCAGGCTGAGCCCAGCGCCTCCCCCGGCTCAGCCCGAGCCACGCACCATTGGCAGTGGCCCAGATACGAGATGTTCTGTCGATTAAGTGCGCACAATTCCTCTGTGACTGCAGCTCCCGGAGCCGGCAAGGCCCAGGCGGGTCTGAGTCAGCACTGGAGCGGCTCCACTGGCCACAGGCTTCTGCGGCTGGGTGCCTGCTGGTGAGAGGCAGGCCTGTCCAGAGGGCCAGGGGCTGCACCGACCTCTAGTAACTGCCCCCTGCCCCGTGACAAGTAGCCCACACTCTTCCTGCTTCCTCAGCTGCTCTTGCTTGCAGCAGAGCCACAAGCTATGACCTATACCCACTTGAGACCCTCCACTGCCACCACCTGTCCCCAGCTGTCCCTGCCGTGCCCTCTGAGCAGGCTCCCATCCCTGCAGACATCCCACATGCCCTCAGCCCAGCCTGCATGCCAGAGCCCCTCCCTGCACCCGGCCGTGGTTGGGCCTGCAATCCCCAGTCAGCTGCTGGGGAAAGGACCACAAGTCCCCGAGCTCCAGGGGCTCATGTGGCAGAGGCCAGGGGCCCGAGCAGCCTCCCAGCCAAAGAATGGGGACACGGGCCCTGTACTTGGGCTCTCCCCAGTGCGTGGCACAGGGGACCCAGGGACATCACCTACCTGGTTGCAGGTGTTAATATCTACCCCATTCCTCAGGTGGTCCAAGGCTTTGTCCAGGTTCCCAGATCTTGCAGCCCGGAGGAAACTGGTGGCAGCATCAGCCTGGGGAAGAGGGGACAGTGTGAGTACTGGTGCCTGCCCTGCCCCTGTCACCATGCAGCCGGGCACAGCACAGGCCCTGCTCCCTGCGCAGAGCTGAGTCATGCCCAGCCTCTCAACAGCACCCGTCCCTGTGCTGGGGGGAATCGCAAGGCCCATGTAGCTCCAGCAGGCTCAGGCACACAGACCCAGCCCCACCTGCCTGCCCCGACTTGCCTAGGCCCTGCTACTGGCACCAGCCTGGCTCCCCTTCCACATCCCTGCACACAACTAGACACATCTGCCCCAGGCTGCCATCCCTGCACTAGTGGGAAATTGGTGAGACACCCCTGGAAACAGTGATGCAGCAAATCCCCCCCCTCCCCCATGCTGCTGAGACAAGCTCCCGTGCCCCAGGCTGGGGAGCAGCATGGGCCCCCCATGCACTGATCTTACTAATGGCCTGGTGAGACTGGGCTCTTGTCATGGGGGCATGCTACAGCCGGACCCTGGCACCAGGCAGTGCTTGTGTGGTGCACGGGCCCAAAAGAGCACCCCAGAAATGGCATGCAGGAAGTGAAGCCGGCAGGTGCCCGCCAAGGGGGAGCACGGCCGGCCCAGACACTCAGGCTATTATTAACTGTGCACTTCCTGTGCATCTGCTCACAGGGCTGGGGAGGAGGGGGACGGAAGAGCTTCTGTGGCAGGACGGACACAGGCAAGGGGCCCACAGGCATCATCTCTGTGGCACAGATGTGCACTCCCTCCCTTGGGGGCCAAGACAGGGCAGGCAGAGCCAGGGCCATAGCACACTGTACTAGGCACCTTGCAGCCAGCAGGGACACAGCAGGAACGAGCAGCCACCTCCGCCCCTGGCATGCAGCCACCCCTGGGGGAAAGCCCAGTGGCTGCGCCAGCACCGCTACACCACAGTGCAGAGCAGCAAGGGACGGAGGTAGCTGCGGCTGGAGCAGCGGGTGACCGCGGAGGACCCCCTGCCGATCGGAGCAGCAGGACCCGGCACCAGCCCCCTCGGGCACATGTGGCTTGGACGTCACGGGTGCAGAAGCCCCATCTGGAAGCGCTCCTAGTGTGACAGCGCTCGGCGCTACGGGAACAGGTGCGGGGCCACCACTGGGGTGTCATCACAGCCATGCGGCCTCATCACGCCCAAGGAGCAAGCGACGAGTGCACGACGGCCCTCCGCCCGCTGCCCTGCAGCCCCCACTGCTGGGGATGGACCGGTGAGCTCCGTGGCCTTGAGAGGGGCTTAGCCCTATGCTGTGAGGCGCCGAGGTGCCTCCTGATTGGCTGGGCTGACCTGCTCCACAGGGAGGACCTGGGCTGTGCACGCTGCACCCCGTGAGCTGACCCAGGGCCATGAGAGCGGTGGCAGGGGGAGCCGACAGCCTCCATCAGCTGGCTCAACGCAGAAGGACCGAGTGGCACTGGATCCTGCTGGAAGGCTCCCTGTGGCTCAGTCGGGAGCAGCGAAAGGGCAGAACTTCAGCTATGCTGTGGGCATGCCGGCCCCACAGAGAACCCTTGGCCAGGCAGTCCCAAGAAGCAGGGAGCTTCCCCTGACAGAAGACACGCAAAGCCGCGGCGTGAGAGCGGTCTGCTGCTCCAGCAGCAAGGGGCTGGCAGCACCCGGCAGCGGGGAGGCGGGGGCCGCGGGGAGAAACCAAACAGCAAAGCAGCGTGGAGGGGAAGCGCAGTGTATACTCACAGCAGTATCTGGACCGGACCTGCCCTGTCGTGCTGCCATAGTCCGGCACTTGAGCTGAAACCTGAGCCCGGTCTCCCCGCGGCCCCTCCTGGGCTATCTACTCCCCAGCTTGGGGAGAGCCAGTAAGTTACATTGCATCTGGCTAAAAATACAGGCTCCCTCCTCGCTCCAGCGCAGCCCTGCAGGGATCGCCAGCCGCTAATGGAATTTGTTCATTTTCTCTCCATTATTATGTCAGATGGGATATTTAATACCAGCCGCCTCCGGAAAGCAGCTGGCAGCTGCCAAGGGCAGGGTGCGGGTCAGGGCTGCTGGTGCCATCCGAGGAGGGCAGAGAGGAAGTGCCAGCGCACATGCCAGGGCGTCAAGCGTTCCATGGGCACCACGGGCCGTGGGCAGGGGGGCTGTGGCAGCCCTTGTGTCCGCCGGGTGTCAGGAGGAGGGCCCTGGAGGCCACGCCGCAGCCGGGGAGAAGCCTAGCATGCCGTCCCTCTGCTCGCCAGGCTCCCTGGGCGCATTTCAGAGATGCACGTCGCATCCTCGGATGGCAGACAGCAGCAGTCAGACTGCGCCGGCAGCCTGCGAAGGGGGATGGCTCAGCTCGAGGTGGGGGGGCAGCTGAGGAACTGGCCTGACGTCAGCGTGCAGGTCAGGCTGGCTGCCATGCTTGGGGAAGGGGGGGCATTCCAGGGCAGATCCCCAGCTACTCTGGCACGTGGCGGTGGCTGGGGGCCAGGGCAGGGCTGAAGTAGCCAAAGGCAGGTCAGACATGCCCCTTCTCCACCCATGCTTCCTTTCTTCCCATTTACTCTGCCCCTGGCCCCTCCATCCACCCCCGAGCTGAGACTCCCTGCCTGGCCCTGGCCTCTTGCCTGCACTCGAGCAGCCAACCTGCAAAGCACCCTGTGGTCCTGGGCTCCGCGCTCTTTCTGCTCCCGGTGCCGGCTTCCTACCGGTCACCCAGAGGGAGAGAGCAAACCGCGCTGCAAGCCACTGGGAGAGCTGGCGTTGGGCCCTGGGCCCCAGCCCCTGGCTCAGCACGTGGGACACGGGCTCTGGCTAGGCCTGCTCTTATTTTGACTTTGCTAGCCCTGTTTCCGGCTGCTGCCCAGGGAGTGGCGGCAGGCAAGAAACTCTGGGCCCTACTGATAGATGGGGCGGCTCTGCACCCCACCATGTGCTGTGCAATATAGACAGTTGATCAGAGGCGGGCAGGCAGATGCAGGCATGGGCTGCTCCTGGTGCCTCGTGTTGTGGTACAGGGACCCCAAAGCTGCAGCTGCTGCCCCAGGAAGGACCCTCTGGCAGCTGGCCCGAGCCTGGGCCCCCCTGCTCACAGCCTCCTATGAGGGTGGCAGAGCCAGGCTGTTGTCAGGAAGCAGAGGCCTTGAAAGCAATTCACCCCAAGGAGGCTCTGGCTGGGCCGCCCTCTTCCAAACTCCAGCATTCTGGTAACTCCATCATGGCACGGCCCCATCCCGCAGCACCAGGCTCACTGCTCCTGCCACAGCGATGTCCCCAGGGGTCCCCCTTGGGTCCTGGTGCCGGGAGCAGCCAAGGAAGCAGGAGCCGGGAAAGGGATGCTAAGAACAACTGAGCAGAGCCAGGGACCAGGACGCAAAGGACCAAGGCAAGATGCAGGAAAGAAAGAGCATCAGCGTTGCACTGCCCCTGTGCGCAGAGGTCAGGGTGGGAGACTCTGCCCTGCCACTTCCCTTCCCTTTGTGTCAAGGGGAAGTCTTGCATTGAGGCTCCTAGCCCAGATCCCCAAGCCAGACCACGCTGGCTTCTGCTGCCCATTCGCATGCCTAGCATGGGCAGCACAATGCAACGTGGCACTTCTGAAGGTCCAGGTTTCAGTGCGTGGCAGGATGGTGGCTGAGCTGGGATGCAGTGGCAGTGTCACCTGCTTGCCTGCCCGCCAGGGAGCATGGGATCACTGGAGGCAGCCACCTTGTGCTGGCACCAGGCCTCAGCTTTTACTATCAGGGAGAGGCACCTGGAGCACAAGACAGCCCACAGCCCCACCATTGAGCTGGAACAGCCCCAGGACCTAGACAGGCTGTGAGCTGATGCAACACTCTGAAGCCCAACAAAGCCCTGGCTTACAAGGAGGAAAGTGCTGCTCTGCCTTGGCCCCTGACACCTCCCATGGTGCTGCTGCCAGCATCCCCGCAGCCTGGATGGGCTGGGCCCCCAGGGCAAGGGCACCTTGTTTCTTCTCCTGGGACCACACGGCAGGGAGCAGCCATCCCTGCAGCATGTCAGCTCCAGTGTCCGCAAGCACCCTCCCATCTCCCCCCAGAGCCAGGGCAATCGTGCCGCCCGCAGCTCAGGCTAAGGCCCTTGTCGACCATTAGCCATGTCTGTGCTGTTCCCAGCTGAGAAGACAGCATGTGCACCTCCAGCTCTGAGCACTCGTTAGGTCAAAGTGCAGAGAAGGCAGGAGGCCAGGACAGCCCTCGCCATGGTATGACCAGGCTTCAGCTGTCCAGGTTGCAGGGGAGAGACCAGGCCTGGGAGGGTCCCATAGAGAGGCAGCCACAGAGCCAGGGCAGAATAGGGGCGCTTGGTGCCTGACACCCATGCCTCGTTTTTGCGTCACCCACGCCCATCTCTGAGCTGCCCCAGGAGGGATCTTGCCTGCTGCACAGTCCGACTGTCATGGGGAAGGGCCACGAGACGCCTGGTTGAGGGAGGCCGCCTGAGCACAGTTCTCAGAAACGCTCCCTGCCCATGCTTATCGGAGCAACCAGGCTGGGGCCTTGCACATAGCCCCAGGAGCAACGGCAGCGCATCTCCCATGTCCAGCTGCTGCAGTGCACGTGCTTTGTGAGCAAACGGTGCCCCTCACTTGGTGCGTGGGGCAGTCAATGCTACACTCGGTGTTTATTTCTAGCAGCACATCTACAAGCTGAACCCTGCCGCAGCCCCAGGACCTCAGCTTCGCAACGTGCCCGCAGCAGCAGGGAGACTGGGGCGGGGGGAGCCATCTGGGTTCAGCACTTGGCTCTGAGACCAGGCAGGTGCCAGAAGGGCCATGAGCCCCACTCCACAGCAGGGGTCTTGCCCAAGGCAGAGGCAGAGCCTGGAGCTGACCCCAGACATCGCTCTGTGACCTCCATCCTGTCCCTACACTGCTCATTGGCTGCAAGCCCCCCGGAGCAGGGCCCCCTGCTCTAAGCAGAGGTCATGGGACTGCTTGGATGGGGGCCATTGCTGCCCGCCCCTGTACCTGCCCCATTACTCACCCTCCTTTGCCGGCACAGTATCCCCATGGGGGTGTCAGGCCTCC